AAGTCACTTAAGGAGGCACTTGAGAAGTTGTTGTCTATTAATGGCTTGAGTTTATCTAGCATAAGGGGGCAAGGATATGATGGAGCTAGCAATATGCGAGGTAAGTTTGGTGGTTTGAGAACTTTAATTCAAAATGAAAATCCATCAGCTTATTATGTGCATTGTTTTGCCCATCAACTTCAATTAGCACTTGTTGCATGTGCTAAGACTCACAAAGATGTTAGTGGTTTTTTTGGTAAGGTCAATATGCTTGTTAATTTCATACGGTCTTCTAACAAGAGACAAGAATTGCTTCGGGACAAACAAGTATCTCAATTTGCTAAATTGATTGAAGAGGGTGAGATAGAGACTGGTAGTGGATTAAATCAAGAATCGTCTATTGCTAGAGCGGGTGACACTCGTTGGGGTTCCCACTTTAGGACTCTCACTAGTTTGATGACTTTATATGGTGCCATTATTGAGGTACTTGAAGAAGTCGGGAAAGATACGTCATTTGAAAAATATGGTGAAACTATGCTTTTGCTAGATGTGCTTCAGTCCTTTGATTTTATTTTCATGTTATACATGATGGTTGAGATTTTAGGATTTACAAATGATTTAAGTGTAGTGCTACAAAAGTGTGATCAAGATCTTTTGAATGCTTTATCACTTGTCAAAGTCACCAAACAGGAATTACAAGAAATGAGAAATGATGGATGGGAAGAACTTATATCTAAGGTTATGAAAATTTGCAATAAGCATGATATTGATGTGCCTGATTTGGATGCAGCGTACGTGCAAGGGAAGAAACCTAGACGACATGCTATCACTTCTAGTGTTTCTAATTTGCATCATTATAAGCATGATTGTTTATGTAGTGTTTTAGATTTGCAGTTGCATGAGCTCAATGCTAGGTTTGATGAAGAGAATACTGAACTTTTACAATGTGTTTCATGTTTGAGTCCCTCATCATCATTTGAATCTTTTGATGTGAAAAAATTATTGAGGATGGTTGAACTTTATCCAAATGATTTTGTAGATGTGCCGGAAGTGGCGGTACGACATCAGCTTCAGAATTATGTTAGAAATGTTCGATGTGATCCAAAATTTGCAAATTTAAACGGACTTTCAGATCTTTGTGCAAAACTTGTGGAAACAAAAAAATGCAACACTTTTGATATAGTTTATAAGCTTCTGAAGTTGGCTTTAGTCTTGCCAGTAGCAACTGCGAGCGTGGAACGTGTTTTTTCAGCTATGAAGTTTGTGAAGAGTCAGCTATGTAACAAAATGGGTGATCAATGGTTAAATGATCGTCTTGTAACTTTTATAGAAAGAGATGTTCTTGGAACAATTAACAATGATGTTATTTTAGCTCATTTTCAAGAAATTGATACTAGACGGTTTTCATTGTAAATACACTTCATCAAACAATATTATTTTTTATTTTCAATATATTTTAGTCGATAATTTCTTTTATGTTTAGCCACACCAATATATAAAGTCTGGATCCGCCCCTGATTAATAACATAAATAATTGTAAAAAATAACATATTTTCTCATGCTATATTTAAATATATTTATTTTTAAACTTCAAAAGAAGAGAAAAACTATAATTGTTTAGTAAAAATTAAAAAGATCATAAATATCTTTTTTTCCCTCTAGTTCAAGTTAAGTTTTTGTGTATATTTTTTCTACATAAGCTTATAAGTTGGAAGGGGTATAATACCTAATAAATAATATAATATAATGATGGAATTTATGCAATGCAAATTAATAGAATAATTAAAAATAAGAACTATTAAATGTTGTATTAAATAAATCATTATTTTAATTTTTTACTAATAAGAAAATTATTTGATAGAAAATACTAAATTTAAAATATATATCCACTCTCTTATTTTTACCATAATATTTTTTCATATTTTTAAAAAATGGTTGATATGTTTTCAATTTTTAATAATTAGATTAGTAGTTTTATTTTCCCATTTAATAAAAGACATATTAATAAACTATATTAATGTAATAATATTTTAAATTATATAAGTTATAATCAGACACACCCGGTAAAATAATTTTTAATCCATAAAACTATTATTCACCGATTTATTAATAATTTATTTTAATCATATTTATGCCAATGTCACATTTTTCCGTGTACATCTCAAATAATCAATATATAATTTGTTAATGATCAAATTATGATTATATATTAATGATGATTTGTAACACATATAAAAATAATGATCAACTTTAATTCTATTAAAGAAATAAAGAAAAAACACATTTAAATTATTATTTTAATGATATAAGTTTCGTTAGTAAACACATATTTTTACATAATCTTTCTGTATATTTTTTTGTATTTGCATCATTTAAATTATTATAATACTGAAGTTAATTTTTTTAAAGATATTAAAGATTTAACTTTTCATTAAAAATTTAGTATTTTTATGATAATAAGTGAATAAATTAATTAATTTTGAAATCTATAAATAAGATGATAAATTGATTTATATTACTATATAAAAAAAAGTGTAATAACAAAACTTACTGTAAGTAAAAAATTTATGGAAGAGAAAAAAAGTTAAAAATATTAAAAATAAATAATTAAAGTACAAATAAAAGCAAAGGATTGAACTATATTTCACATGTGCAGACTGTAAGCAAATAAAAGCAAAAGATTATATATATATATATATATATATATATATATATATATATATATATATATATATATATATATATATATATATATATATATATATATATATATATATATATATATATATATATATATATATATATATATATATATATATATATATATATATATATATATATATATATATATATATATATATATATATATATATATATATATATATATATATATATATATATATATATATATAATCTTTTCATTAATTATATTTTAATACATATTAATATTTGTAATAAATGTTAAAATTTAAAAGAAAAAATGTTAAAAGTTAAATGATCGGCTTTCCATGTAAGAAATGTTAAAAGTTAAAATACATACAAACATGTTTAATTTTTTATCTGAAATTTTTAAAAATAATATTTGATCCAATAATAAAAAATAAAATGATGATCATCCTCCCTTTTTAATAATTTTCCATTCTCCTTTAATGTATCTATTAATTATTTACATATAATTACTAATTTTTAAAATTGGTTTTATGTTGCATAATTTCTTATTTGCCAATAATTAAAATTTAGTTCATATTTATTGCCCATGATTTTATATCAATACCATATTTGAAATATATATTACTTTGTTAGTCTTCCCGTTACCAAAACATATCTCTTGAAGAACACCTAATAAATATAAATGCAGTTAATATTATTTTTAGTCGAGTTATGAAGAAGAAAGGGAGAACCCGATAAATGTTAAAAATTCAATAAACAATTGTTTTAGAATGATGGAGAAAAAAAATTGTATGTATTTTTTACTGTAACTAAACTTCTGACCAAATGGTGTTAACATATATTTTACAAATACATAATCAGAATAACAGAAATCTACCATAGAGATTACACAACCACCAGCTTGGGCGGATACATATTTGACCTTAGCAACTGACACCACTTTAACAACCAAAATTCAACCAAAATTCAATCTCAACCACTCATTAAAAAAAATGAATTGCAACTTCAGTTCCATGCATTCCATATACATATTGTTACCAGATGCAACAGTTCACAGTGATAAAATCATGTTTTTTATGTGAACTTTTTCGTATAGGACACCGAACTCATCAATCCTACTACTAAGCCTATCTCAACATTATATACTATTTTGAATATCGATTCTCACGGAAGTTCAGTCTCGTCTTGATCTTCATTGTTCAAAAGCCTAGCTAATATTATTACACTCATGCATTTTGCATTAATTATATACATTTCTCATGTAATTCTTCGGATATAATGCTGCAGTATGCCGAACCTCCACAAATATTCCCTATTAATAATATAAATTGCGAACAGGATTCTATGAATCCTTCAAACCATATATGCTTGAACAATAACAAAATGAAGTTCTATACACTTTAACCTGATACATAATGTGAAAAGTGGAAGCCGAAAATATTAATTTCGTGAAATGTTAATCCTATAATATCGACAATAGAAACATATACTTCACCACAACATCAACCACATCAACAATCGAAACACAACACTAACAACACAAATGACATGACTAACCAACACCGTCAATTTACACTTCAAATCTGTCTTGTTTGACGCGATCTCACGGTTTCGACTGAAACACAGTTAAGTACCTATATCTATCTATCTATCTGTAATTATTACAAGCGCTGGAGGATAAAATAAACAACATTGGACCTTATATACAAAACAAATAAAAGTGATCACCGATATGAAAATCGCTAAAGCCTTTACATGTGGATCAAGAACTACAATATGTACATAATGTATGATGCATAATGGATCAACATCATCAATCAAAGCATCATTCTGTTCAAAACAGAAAATAGGACCATGTGAATCAACATATGCACATTGAATGATTTCTGCCTCTCCTTTCAACGTAAGAAGACATGCATCTGCAAATTTAATAGAAGTACATCATCCTTAATTTTGAGATCTCTAATTTGAATCCAGAAGCACATCATCCTCAATTTTGAGATCCCTAATCTGAATCCAGAAGCACATCATCCTCAATGTAAATCATTTATACAACATCCTCAATTTCAATAATTTTCTACAATATGTAGGTAATAACAAAAATATAAAAAACTGAAAATAAAAAATCTAACCTGATATAATAACAAAAACTGATAAAACCGAATATGAGTTAACTCTAAAAATATCAAACAGAGAATTAGAGGAATCAGTCTATTATTTCAAAAGGTTGGAACAACAAAAGGAATCACATATTGAAACCCAAAAAAAGAGGATGAATTTTAAGATTTAGGTTTGAAACCCACCGATCTACCATCGTCATACCGCACATTGTCGTAAAATCGTCGAAATCGTCATAACCACCACCAACTTCCCCATTCTGATTGATTCGTGAAACTCTTTCTTGATTTCACTTTGAACCATTCTTTTGATTTTTGTTTGCAAGAGAGATGAGATTGATTTTCAAAGAATAACTTGAAAGAAGAAAGAGAGAGATGCATCAAAAAGAGGGAAGAGGAAGATGGAAGATGTAATTGTTTTGTAGAGTAATGAGGGATGACACTGGTAGTGGAATAATGAGAAGGGGGAAAAATTAAAGTTTTGTAACCGTTTGGTTTTGGAGAGCGAAAAGAAAAAAAGGTTTGCTTATTCCTCATGAAGCCACGTGTCGGCTTGTAGTAGAGAAGAGTTGATTTTCTTATATTGTAGATTTCCTTAATTTCAATTATCTACTTGAATATTTTTAAATATAAAAAATATGTCACAATAAAAATATTTTATTTATTTCTATTTAAAATATACTAAATATTAATTCATTTAAAAAAAACTAGTCGATAACCCGTGCGACACGGGGCCGGTCGAGAATTCATAAAACGTGGAACTAATGTTGTCATGTAACAGTAAATTCGTTTTTATGTAATTCAATAAAAGTTCATCTAATTCTGTCAAATTTAGTGTATCAAACTTATTTGACAACATTAAAAAATGTAAACTGAAATCATGATTGTGTAACAAAATAAGAAACTGTGATGACTCTTCAAAATAAGAAACTATCACGAGTCTTCAGATACAACGCAACCAGCTTGGAAACGATGTTTTCAACTTTTTGACCCGCACAATAAATTATGCAAAAATTAGACAGCATTTACGGAAACAATTTATATTAAAGAAAATATTTGTTATTATGTACTTACCGATCAACAAAGAGATTGGAAAACTTCTTTGTATACAACATTTGTAGTGATAGATGTTGATACATTCATACTATCATGTATTAAGATCTTCAGACCACTTTTGCTTGTAACTCTTGAAATGGCTACATACAACTGGCCATGACTGAATACAGGAGTAGGCAAATACAATCCAACGGTATCAAGTGATTGGCCTTGAGACTTATTAATTGTCATTGCGTACGACACAATAATTGGGAACTGTCTCCTAATCAACTTAAATGGCCACGGTGACTCGGAAGGTGACATAGACATTCGAGGGATGTAAAAGATGTTGCCAACATTCTTACCAGACATGATCTTTGCCTCAATAACGTGATTTGCCAACCTTGTAACAATTAGTCTAGTTCCGTTACACAAACCATCATTTTGGTCCAAATTCCTCATAAGCATTATTGGTGTACCAACCTTTAATCTGAGTTTGTAATTTGGGACACCTGAAGTCCTAAGCTTGCTAAGAAATTCTGGAGTAAGACATTCATAGGCTTCGGTGTAACTTGAATCAATTCTATCAATCGAATCAAAACTCAAATACTCTTTGTCCTCACCTAAGAAATGGGAAAACGCGAATCAATCCATAATGTTTTTTCAAGAATAATTTAATAACGAAACATCTACACGAAAATAAACATCAAAAGAAAAAATAGTTTACCCGGTATCATGTCTAACACGTAATGATTAATTTTATCAACAACTTCAATGGTTGAAGCAAGTATTGCTTTTCCTTGTAGAAATTCTACATTTTGAAAGTCGGCAAGCAAATTTGGGTATGTGCTTTCAACTATAGCTCTTATTGGATCCTCAAAATTGGAAATTAACAAATCCGGAGGAATTTCTATATCAGCTAATCCATCGTTAGGTTCACATATTTTACCGTCGCCAACATTTAATATCCATTTAGAGAATTCTGTTGTACCATCCCTCCCATTCTTGAGTCTCATGTTTTTGGTTATTGTTAAGACTTGGCAATAGTCCCACACATAAGAAGAACAAATGGAAGCATGAACAATATCAGAACGGCCTGCTCTTGGAACAACTGGAAGTATCTGTCGAAAATCTCCTCCAAATATAACTACCTTGCCACCAAAAATTGTATTTGCAAAACCCTTATCGCTCATGACATCCTTAAGGGTCTTATCCAAGGCCTCAAAACAATTCTTATGAGCCATGGGTGCTTCGTCCCATATTATGACATCAGTAGCTTCGAATAACTGTGAATGCTCAGAGTCTTTGTCAACATTGCAAGTAGAGTTGTCAAGCGTTGGAATGGGAATTTTGAACTTCGAATGGGCTGTTCTACCACCTGGCAATAATAAGGAAGCTATGCCACTTGAAGCAACAGCCAGAACAATTTTTTTATCTGAACGAAGTGCACTTGATAATGTCCTCCACATAAACGTTTTACCGGTTCTGCCGTATCCATGTAAAAAAACACCCCTCCGTTTTGTTTCTTGACGGCGTCCATTATGGTTTCAAAGATTGCACGTTGCTCATCTTGACGTTCAAATGAAAAGAATCAATACAACAGTAGTTTAATGAAAACATCGATGATTAGAATAATGAGGAAATACCTGTTAGAGATGTAAATAGATTCTGGAAGTTTTGTCGCTCTAAATCAGCATCATAATCACGTTCATCAAAAATCAGTCTATTGCCGACATGTAGCATTATATACAAATCTGGAAACGGCATATCTTTGAATTCACGCAAGCTTCTTCTATTTGATTGCATCATATTCTCAATCTCAATTAATGTGAGTTTTGTCAGTTCTGCAGTTGACAATTGCATGTCTTCCAACACAAATACAAACCAAAATAAAATATAACTATTATGTACAATAGAAATCACAGTGTTGATGAAGATAGACATGCAAAAGGATCATTAACCTTAAAATGGCAGTATCATGGAAAATTTCAGTATAATGCAAGAGCATCAGACATTCGGGTTCATTAAAAATGTTATGTCTTTGATCAGTAGCTGTGACAAAAGGTGGTTGAAGGTAAAAGATAAATCACAGAATTATTCTGTTCTGTGTTGGTGGTGAGTAATATCAGATTGCATTAGATATTTTTATTACTGATGAAATAGCAGCATTGAAAGGACTTGCTTACTGGAACTTATGATTCTTTGAAAGGGCAGCATTGAAAGGTGCTGTTGAATGGAAATGATGTGAACCAGTTTGGTAACAATTGAAATTCTTAAGTTAAGACCCTATCTACATGAGTTGAAATTACATTACGGCAATGAGAACCTGTCAAAAGACTTAAGTATGGTTTGAACTGTATGATATGTAACATATATATGGAAGTATAAAAGGATTGAAATTATTGCATCCAAAGTAGTTTAAAAGGTATTATAAGAAGAAAAACTCATTATAATAGTTTCGTACGGTTTGTAATTGTATGAAATTTAACAGAAGTATTTAGGTATTTGTTAAGTGTACCTCTTATTCCAGTGACAATTCTCTGTTGATGAAGAATACCGTCAGATAGCAACTTCCAAGTCTGTTGCCAAACATGTCGCGGTCGATTAACAGTACCAGACAACAGCATCGTGACAAATAGCTTCCTCAAAAAATTACCGGAACCCCAATCTTTGGCCTCATTTATGGCTGCAACATATTCTTTGTCGTCGTTAAGAAATCCCATCTCAAAGCATGCATCTCTAAAACTGTCGCGAACTACTCCACCAACCTTTTTTATATCGTCATAGCAAGTCGGTCCCTTGACAACCGTCAACATCATTCTAAGGTAATAGAGCTCACCAATGCTTGGAGGAACCCAAATTAACCGGCCAATCGTACGACCTCTTTTTCGAGGTCTCCATAAACGGTACCTTTTATCGTAAATGAACTTGGAAAGAAATGCAGTGTATGTTAAAGTCTTTGCATCTTCGTATTTTTTGTTTGACTCCATCCAAGCTGTAAACATTGATTCCTTTACAGTTGGTTTTTCAAGAACATTGTCTATGAAATCATAGTCAGTGTAGTAAACCGGATTTTTGCCTTCCAGATGAAAATACAACCTTTCGACAGAAGGAGATCTACCATGGATAGGATATGAAAAAATCCTCCAACACGCCTCACTCGGGGAAACGTACATGCAATCAAGGTACTGTTTGATTTCATCAACATCTGTACCAAATGAACTTCCGTCTGATTCGGTCCGAACAACCGCTACAGTTATTCTATCGTAACCTTTGTTAATATACTTGAATAAGTACTTGACAGAAGTACCTTGGTTACACCATTCCATATTAATGTGCGCCTGATATTTCTTTAGAAGATATGCATTATAAGGAACTACATACCTATTATCAAGAACAATACTTTTTTCAGAACAGTAATGCCAGTATCCCTTCTCCTATAGACGGGATAGCCATCTTGGTCGACAATGGTTAGAGGCTGCCAATTTTTGGGAAAGAATTTAGAGCATTTACCATTTTTCATGCAAGGGGAAGATCTGTTAGCCAACCCACATGGACCATGAATCATATGTGTCTTTACCAAATGATTTAATTGTTTATCATTCGTTTCTGCCGGTATTTCTGCTGAAATAATGTTGTTGATGTCATCCGGAGTGGGAAACTTGTTCTGGTGATGCATGAAAAGTAAAATGTGTGGATGGGGCAAACCTCTCTTTTGGAACTCAATGGTGTATATATCTGGAAGAAATTAAAATACAGTAAAACATTAATTTAAAATCATTGGTATAGAATAGGGAAGAATTAAGTATTACATATTTAATTTCATGTGGCTCACATGCAACAACTCTGCCCAAGACATGCTTCTTTGTTATATCATACAGTAATTCGTCAAACTTCATTTTAAAAACCCTTGAGATTATATCAGGACGATCTTGAGGTTGTAAATTCATGTTGTTAAGAAACCTCTGAATCTCTGGCCAACATGGATTGCAAGTAAAGGTAATGAATAGATCGGGAAATCCAATTTGACTACAAATTGCCATTCCATCAAAGTATAATTGTTCCATGTATCTGCGACTTCCAACGTATGTTGACGGCAACACCACTCTTTTGCCTTTGTGGGCTCCTTCATTTGAAGATTGTTGGTGTACTCCTGACAAATTGGAGTATTTGGATACTCGTAATTTTTTTTATGCTTACGTATGTAATTGAGTCGTTGTGACTCCATCATAGTGAATCCATCAACCAAAAATTGCTGAAACAATCTCCTTGACCTGAGCAGTGTGTGAGCTTCACGTTGTCTGGTCTGAATGCGAAAGGCCAGCCATTCTCTAATAGTAAGTTTGTTCATCTTTCCTTTTTTTTGGGAACTGTCTCTCTGTGTAGAACACCAAGTCTAAATCCATCTTCCCCGTACAGAAACAGAAGTGGATATTGTAATGCAAGATAGCTCGGATGAAACTCACTTATTCGTTTTAGTCTACCGCTTTGTCTTCCAAGGA